TTAATTGACAATTAAATTTACCGATCTACAAATAATTTTAATAAACTGAAATTATATTTTATTAAGCAAATTTAAACCTATATTATTTAAAATTTTACTATAACTCATATTTTGAGTTTTAGCAAATTAGTATAGATTTAAAATGTGATAATTTGATTTTTAACAAATTAGGTCTATTTTAGCAAGAGCAAAAAGTGCTAAATTCATGCAGATCAGTTATGAGTTATATATGTGATGTCCGGGGTCCTGAAAAAGCTACATGAGATTTTTCTGGAAGTACCTATGATATAACATTAAGCCAAATGTTCCCCATCATTACAAACCTTACAAATTCCTTAAAACCAGTTGATAATTTACATGAGGAATATGAAGAACCTGATGATAATACCATTATATCTGATACAGAAGAGAATTTAACTAACCAGTCAACTGGAATAGATTATAATAATATTTCAGAAGTTTTAAAAAATGTAAAAAAATATATATATAGGCTAAGGATGGGTTTGCAAATGATTTTCAAATTCTGCAATATTGCGGATTTTGGAGTTGAATTGCGGTTAGTAACCTGCAATTCTGCAATTCAGTTTTGGGCATTTTCTTATATATAAAAAATACCAGAACTAATAGTTTTTTTATACAAAAATACCAGAACTACTATTGCTTCCAGCATATTTTTTAATTTTTTTTAATAAAAACGCTGGAACTATGGGTTCTGGCATTTTTTTTTAATTTTTTTATATAAAAACACTGGAACTATAGGTTCTGGCATTTTCTTTTAATTTATTTATATAAAAACGCTGAAACTATTGGTTCTGACGTTTTCTTTTAATTTATTTTATATAAAAATACCAGAACTATGGGTTCCAGCATTTTCTTTTAATTTTTTTTATGTAAAAATGCCGGGACTATACATGCCACCCAAATTATTTTGGACTGCCGTAATTATAAGTAAAATCCCAAATTCAATTATGGCATCCCAAATTATTTTGGCACTTTACATAGTAAATTATATATTAACTGAATGAATTATGGCATCCCAAATTATTTTGGCACTTTACATAGTAAATTATATATTAACCGAATGAATTATGGCATCCCAAATTATAATTATGGTATCCCAAAATAATTTGGGCAGCATGTATAGCCGGGACTATGGGTTCTGGCGTTTTCTTTTAAATTTTTTTTATATAAAAATGCTGAAACTATAGGTTCTGGCGTTTTCTTTTAAATTTTTTTTATGTAAAAATGCCAGAACTATAGGTTCTGGCGTTTTCTTTTAAATTTTTTTTATATAAAAATGCCAGAATTATAGGTTTCAACGTTTTCTTTTAATTTTTTTATATAAAAATGCCAGAACTAAAGTTTCAGCGTTTTCTTTTAATTTTTTTTAATAAAAATGCCGGAACTATAAGTTCCGTCATTTTCTTTTAATTTTTTTTAATAAAAACGCCAGAAGTAAGGTTCCAGCATTTTCTTTTAATTTTATTATGTAAAAACGTTGGAACTATAGATTCTAGCGTTTTCTTTTAATTTTTTTCATGTAAAAACGCTGAAACTAAAGTTCTGGCGTTTTCTTTTAATTTTTTTATGTAAAAATGCTGGAACTAAATTTCCGGCATTTTCTTTTAATTTTTTTTATATAAAAATGCTGGAACTATAAGTTCTGGCATTTTCTTTTAAATTTTTTTTAATTAAAACGCCAGAATTATAGGTTCCAGCATTTTCTTTTAATTTTTTTTTATATAAAATAATTTTTTTTATTATTATTAATAAATAGAAATATGTTTTTTTAGTAGTAATTATATTTTATTAAAAAAAATAGTTTTTTTTGCGGACATTCTGCAAATCCGCAAATATCGCAAAGTACCGCAAATATTCCGCAATTGAATTGCGATACTTGCAATATTTGCGAATTTGCAGAATATTTGCAGATTTGCGTATAATTGCAGATTTGCAGATTTGCAGATTTTTAGATTTAAAAATCTGTAATGTTCCGCAATACTGTAAATCGCAATTATTCTGCAATTACATATTTGCAGTACCATCCTTAGCTGTGGTCCTACAAAAGAGAAGCTAAAACGTTAGTAAACGTTTCATTGAAGTAAAAGAAAAATAAAATAAAAAATAAAAATTTCAAAGCCTTACCTTTGAAATAGGGAACTGAAACCTGCCTTTCGATGATTTCTTGTATCTACGAAAAGTAAAAAAATGAATGTTAGCATTAGTAACGTTCATTAAATAAAATAATAAAAAAATATTTTGAAGGTTTTTTACCTTTGAAATGGAGTCTGACAACGTCCTGAACCTACAATAAAAAAAAAATGAACGTTAGTTAACATTCGTTAAATAAAAATTTATTTTTCTTTGAAGTTTACTTTCGAACCAAAACCCTACAAAAAAAACAAACGTTACTAGTAGACGTTTTATTAAATTAAAAACCAAAAAAAAAATATAAAGAAATTTTGAAGTTTTACCTTCGAAATTTTATACAGGATCCCATCCAGTAGCCATAGACCTGAAAAAAAAACAAATGAAATGAAATGTTAATTAATGATTGTTAAAAATATTGTTTCGCCATATTGGGAGTAGTTTGAGATAATGCCATGAAAAGTATATAAATAGGGTCATCACAATTATTAACAATATCTCTATATCTTTTTAGCCAACTTTTTAATGCTGAAAATGCAGTTTCTATTGGATTTAAATTGGGTGAATACGGTGGTAAATAAAGTATCCTACACCCAAATTCTTCAACTGATTTTACTAAATCTTCATCATAATGAATATGAGCATTATCCATAATAAGTACATTATTTTTACCAGGATATGGATTCATTTGTAGTAACTTAAAAATAAACAATTAATTGATTTTTTTTTTATGTTAACAAAGATACAATAAATATTTTTATAAATAAATAATTACCACTTGTGTTATTATAAAGGTTTAAAATCTATCTTTATCATAACTACCTTCCATTATATCAGCCGCAGTAAATTCATCAACTAGGATCCCAGAAAATATTTATATAGGTAAGGTCTAGTGTACAAAATCTATTCAAAATTTGCCAGATTTTCTGAAAGATTTCTAATAAATCTGGTTATATTTTTTAAATTCAGAAATTTTTCAGACATGATGCAACAGATTTCTGGTAAATTTTACAAATGCGGAATTTATATATATATATATATTATATATATTTTTTTACTTCTTAAGCCACATAAATGCGAAAAGCAGAACTGCAAAAGCAATTTCAAAAAAAGTAAGTCTCCACAATATATTATGACAGAACAATTATTTTGAATTTTTAAAAATATGGTATGTTTAACTTTATTTTCGAAATTTTGTATTCTTTTCTCTTGTATAGTTATATTTATTTTATAATATACCTTTTTTAAAATTTTTTTATAGGAACGGTACATTTTCTGAGGTAATTTCGATTTAAAAGGAATGGTGAATATACCGGGCTGCTTAGTAAACACATTATGAAAGCATTATAGTAAATTGTTTTAATGATTTAATATTTTATTTCAGTAATAAATTTGACAAAATGGAATATGTGATTATTTTTTAACATTAATACGTCTTTTTTGATTATTCTAATTTCCAAATAGTAAAGCATGATTATAGTCAAACTTGGAACTTTCTGGTCCTTCTAAAGAGATACATATCATCATATCTAATGTATTTGTCGTTAATAAATTTCTGTTTTTGGTTTTAATTTGATTCTGTCTACTAAAACCACATTCATACTCTACACTTGAAAAGAGAATACAATATATTAATTGAACTAATTTGATAATATTTGGAAAAATATCATTATAATCTTGAATTAGTAAGGAAAGGATTGTATCTATATCTTTAGAAGATCGATTATTACTAATAATCATTTTAAATCCTGTTCATTCTTGTCTACATTTATTAATATCAAAGAGTGCTGATGATTGAATATTATATTTGGATGTTCATAATATTTTAATAAGTCTTTTAATTCATTATCTCCAAAGTATAATAAATCTTGAAAGTTTTTGGACCATTCTTGTGGATTTAATATTTTCATAGAAACAAATAGTGATCTATTAGAAAACCGTTATTGTAATTCAGAAATAATGCTTGTTAAATAACTATATATATCCATTAAGAATTCATCATAATTCCGCCTATTAAAAGAAATATTATGTCCCATATATTCAATTGAGCTATTTTCAAATGGGTTAGTTTTATCAATAAATCTTTGAACATTATATTCGAATTTTTGTGATTGATCATTCATTGAATATTCCTTTTGAATAGAATTAATTGTGGCTTGTATCATTAAATCTATATCCAAAAATCACAAATTTCTTTTTTGTAAAAATTTACTCAATTGCGTTACATGATCTAAAATATTATAAAAAAAATATAAAAACGCCAATATTCTCCAAGATGTTAATTTATTATATAATTCTAGCCCTTCATTATTCTTTGCTTCTTTAAAAACTTGAAGTAATGCAGGAATTGAATTACAAATATTTTTGATAGCTTTATACCATGCAAGCCAACATATTTCATATAATCTCTTTATTTTTAAAATAGGACAATCCAAAAAATCTTGAATTTCTTTTAATTGTTGAATACGTGAGCATGAATTTTTGAAATAACCATAAATTTTTTAATTAATAATTCAGCTTCCTTATAAAACTCAATTTCTTTTCTTGCATCTTTACATGCCAAAGCTAATTTATGAGCTACACAATGATTAACAATTAAAGAATAAGTGCATACTCTAGAAAGTTTTGCTGCTACACCTTCATTTTTTCCTAACATAACTGATGCACCATCTGAAGCAAATACTACAAGCTTAGATAAAACTCCTTTTCTTTCAAAAATATCAATTATTGCACAAGTAATACTTTCTGCATCACATTCAGTCAAAGGTATAAGACATAAAAAATGGATTTTGACTATTCCTCGTTTAGCTACATATGAAACATATGTATCTAAATGTTTAGTTGTCATAATATCAGTCTGTACTCTCATCAATCATTATTCCAAATGCTACAACATCAGATAATTCTTTCCAAATTTCATTTTCAATAGTTTTAGATATTGCTATTAGAAATTCATGTTTTGAAATCTCATTTGTATATGTAATTGATCTATCAGAAATATTTGGTATTTCTGATTTTTTCATCATTGTAATAATAGAAGGTAAAAGTCGGAGTGGTAAATTATTTTTTGATAAAAAATATATAGCTCGCATTACAACAATAATGTGTCTTACATTTGCATCAGATAAAAAAATTTGATTTTGTAAAGATTCCATTTGAATACGTGCTGTTTCTAGTTTTTCTGCTTCACTGTGATCTTTACATTTTACATGTTCTTTAACTGCAGATTTTTTTGAAATATTTACTGCTCTTTCTGTAGCAAATTCATTTTTCATCTTATGTTTGATACAAATTGCACAAAACATTTTTTTATTATCATTATCATAACATAACCAAGAAAATTCTGATAACCATTTAACTTTAAATGATTTATTTTTTTTTTTTTTTTTTTAAATGTTGAATCATGTACCATTTTATTAGAATATATTTGGACTACATAATAATCACAAATATTCTATGAATGATACTTCCAGCTCCAGGCCAGTCCGATCAAACATTAGATATTATATTATCAATAAAATTAAAATTAAGAATAAAAGTATCCAAAAGGTATAGCAAAATAATAACTTTAAATGATTTATTAGAATTGGAATTTTTTAAATCTACTTGAGGATTTTTAGGATTCTATTCATCTTTTTGAGTTAAAATGTCATTAATTTTTTGACGTTTAAAGCTGTATTGTAATAAAAACATGATGGATTATTATCAATAAAAAAAAAAGATCAAGCAAATCTAAAAAAAAAAATCTAAAAAAATTTTATTAGTTCTGGTATAATTTTTTTATTCCAGTCACATATTCCGATAAAAAAAATGAATTTCCAGAATTTTTAAATTTCTCCAGAAAATTTCTGGAATTTTTACAAAAACTTTTTGTACGCTGCTTAGTAAGGTCCCAAAAATTTTTTTTATTAGTAGCTCTAAGCATAGGTTTTTACTATGATCGCTAAGCATTGTTAATATCTAACCTTAAAAATTATATAAAAATAAGCAAATCAATTTTCTAACCTAATTAAATTTTTATTATAACACATATAATTTATAAAATATATTTATTAATTAATATATTTTATTAAATCCAATTTTAAATATGTTGTGAAGCTAAACTAAACATAATATACAAGTAGATTAACAATATTCAATTAATAAAGTTAATAAACAGTAAAAGAAAAATCTGAAATTAATACCATTACAAAAATGTAAATTTCTCCATATGTATTATACTTATACCCATAAAAATTAATATGTAGGTAGTTTCGACCTTGCTGAACAATTTTCAATTAATTTAAAAAGTCGATTTCATTTGACCAAAGGGGTGTAATTACGCTCTAAAGTTGTAAATAGAAAAATGAAAAATTCAGAAGTTAGTACCATTATAAAAAATGCACTTTTCTCCATAAGTATTATACCCACACTCATAAAAATTAATATATAAGTAGTTTTGACCTTGCTGAACAACTTTCAATTAATTTAGAAAGTCGATTTCATTTGACAAAAGTGGTGTAATTACGCTCTGAAGTTGTAAACGAAAAAGTGAAAAATTTAAAAGTTATTACTGTTATAAAAAATATGCTTTTCTATATAAATATCATACTTAGCCTTATGAAAATTAAAATACAAGTAGATTTAACTTGCTGAATAACCTTACTTATGCATAAAATATAATTTGTTATAACCAAATTGGTTAGTAGTGAAATTATATTTTAAAGTAAAACATATTTACAGTAATTTTATTTAACAAAATAAACATGTATAATATAGTAATTTTATATTAAAAATAATACACTGAGTTTAATAAAAATTAAAAAGATACTATTGAAAGATAATTAATAAAACATTGAAAAAAAAACTGAAATTTCATCAAAAAAAAATTTTTGTTTGTGTATTTATATAAACAAGATGTCATTTTCATAGGGGAGCTTGACATACTTTTAAAAGATCTTTTAAGTGGAAGTTATTGTAAAAAAAAAATGACCAGTGATGGGAGACAAAAAGGAGTAATGGGATGATGAAAAAGAGTAATGATGGGAGACGAAAGGGAGTAATGGAAAGTTGAAGAAAGACGAAAGGAATGATAGACCTAATAAAAAATGTTTTTGCACCGTTTTTTGTTAAAATAATTAAAAATGTTTGTGAAAACCATTTTTTTTATAAAATTATTATTAAAAAAACAGTTTCACAATGTTTTCTATTAAAACAATTAAAAAATGTTGCAAAACTGTTTTTTTTATTGATTGTATTTGTAAACTTGTTAATATATAATAAAAAAGTAATTTTGATTATATAAACAAATTAGTAATTAATGCAATAAATTAATTTGTATTATTGTGACGCAGATTTTTACTAAAAAAAATTGCTGAAGTATTTTGAAGGTTTTTTATTTAAAAATCTGTGCAGAACTTTTGTTATTTATAAAATTTGCGCAGTTTTTTATTGGATTTTTCCTTTAATATTTTGCGCCAGGATATAAGATCTGCGCAGATATAATTTCTGAAAATCTGTACAGATCTGCTCCCCAAAAAAATTCCCGATGCTAAATATCCTCTTTTAATAGCATGTTCCCAAATTACTCCACAAATGGCTGCAAAATTTTATAAAGATTCAATTTATATGTAAATAAAATTAGGATAAATCTAATTGTAACAGCCTGTTACGCGTCTTATTTGTAATAACCCCCAATTTTATCCAATTAAAATTTAAGATCAGGCGTAATGTAAACAAAAACAAAAGATCAGTTATGTAACTAAGACAAAAGAATTTTTTAAAAAATTTCAAGAAACTGCTTATAACTTAAAATTTTGTCTATGAAACTATCTTAAATACATTAAGTAAAAGTTTTCCAAATTAAATTTTGCATATAAAAATTTTATTTGTGAAACACATATTAAATTTATTATTAAAAAAAAATAAAAAAAGGATGTTACAAATAAGATATGTAACAGGCTGTTACAAATACATTTTTTCATAAAATTATATAAATTACAAATAGAACTTTATTCAATTTCAATAAATTTTTATACCATTATAATTGTAAATTTATTATATTTTTACATACTTTTACGCTAATTATAAATTTATAAATTTATTATATTGCTATATTTATTAATGGTAACGTTGTGCTGCAGCTCTAAATGCTTTACGCCATCCAATTTTATTTATACCCAGTTGATCAAATTCAGCATCAGTAAGATCACAAATTTGATCTACAGTAATTTGTTCATCTTCAAAAGTACTTTTAAATCTTAAAAGTTCTCCATTTTTACCTGACAATTCATTAAAAAACTCATCAAGAGATGGAACTGGTTGTTGTCTTGAAAATGATAATACATTATTTGGTAAACTACTTGTAGTTGAATTTTGTGCAAATAATTGAATTATTTGTGATGGAAAAGCAAAAAAAATGGGCGCTGTATTATGATCTAAATTGGAAACCATAGGTGTTGATACTTTGGGCTTTTCTTTAACACTGTTAGATCGTGAAAAAATTGGTAAATTTGGCACCTGAGTATTATCTGTAATATCTCGAATCTAAAAATAATCTGATGATCAATTTTTATATTGGTATTATAATACAATAAAATAAAAATAAAGATTACAATTTTCTTAGTTCAGCACTGAAAATGCATTGCAGTAAGCTTTATATGTCTTTCATTATCAACAAAACATGACATACCATGTTGATTACACTTGTATTGCTCTTTTAATTCACGAATTATAAGTCCTTCTTATTGTAAAATTGCAGAAAAATCATCTACTTTTGGAACTGCTTTTTTTCTTTTACGTACACTGACCTCTTTATCATTTGATTCTTCAGAATCTGAAATCTCCTATTAAATAAATAAAATTAAAAATAATTATTTGTATATAAAATTGAATATAAATATTACCTTTTTCTTTTGCTTTTTCTTTTTTAAAGATACTAAAATTATACATGAAACCAAAATTGGTTAATTTTGACCTCCAAAATGGTCAAAATGGTCGAAATGATTTTGACTTGAACCCCTCCAAAAGTCGAAATGATTAAAATTACGTCATAGTCATATGATTTTATAGTAAACAATAATATTAAAATTCAAAGTTAACGAACTCCGCATCCAGTGATTCGATTTTTATGATCTTTACACGGTTGGATTCAGCTCATCGAGAGGATTCCAATGATATGTATTTCATATTTGTAGCATTAATATTGACGGAGTTATTCACGTTTAAAATTTGGTATTAAATAGTCTTATAATTTTTATAGTAAACAATAATTTTAAAATTCAAAGTTAACGAACTCCGCATCCAGTGATTCGATTTTTATGATCTTTATGCGGTTGGATTCAGCTCATCGAGAGGATTCCAATGATATGTATTTCATATTTGTAGCATCAATATTGACGGAGTTATTCACGTTTAAAATTTATATTAAATTATAATTATAAAAATCACATGACTATGATGTAATTTCGACCATTTTGACTTTAATTTCGACTTTTGACCTTCCCAAGTCAAAATATTTCTACTTTTGGGCTTTAATTTTGACTTCATGTATAACTAAAATCACTATATTTTTCTTTTTATCCAACAATTTTTTGTAATCTAAAAGAAATTTTTTATAATCTTGTGCGTCCATTAATTGCGTTCCAACTCCTCCAGCTTTTTCTGGTTTATATGATATTAAATAATCTGAATGCATTATCTCTTTATCACCAGTTAATTTTACAACGTATTGATGCACACATGCAAGAATATCATTATCTAGTGATGATGCTTCTATTTCTACCCATTTAGATGGCAATGTTGGACCAGTAAAGGATTTTATCATCAAATTGAATGAAATAATTTGTTCTGCTTCTGATTTTTCATCCAAATCAATACTAATATTATTTTCCAAATTGTTTTCAAGTTCTATATCCACATTATGTGAAGTAGAAGCTTTTAATGCAGTTTTAAATTTTTTTCTTTGAAATGCACTATTACAGGCAGAGCAGAAAGAAAATTTAAACTCTGTGTTAAAATCTATGGAATATTTGAAATAATTAATCTTCTCTTGAATAGTATATTCAAGCTGTTTAGGTGGCAAGTCAGGTTTTAAAATTCAAGAGAATACATTTCTTACTTTATCAGTTCAGTTATTTTTGTGTGGTTTTATGATTTTATCACATGAACACATTTTTTTCCAAATACTAAGTTCAGCTCCACAATAGAGACATTTTTTACAGCTAAAGCAAGTGCCAAAGAGGTATTCATTATGAGTCATTGTTAAATTGAGACACGTTTTTTAAAATAAATGAATAAAACGCAAGTTTAAATTTTTCGATTATTAAAATTGTTAATTTTTAATTGGTTGATCTCATTGTTTTAATCATGTAATGTTGATCATTCTGATATTCACAATCAGAAATCGATTTTCATATCACATATTGACTGTGCACACCATTTTGAAAATGACGATAAATAAAAAGGATTTAACATTAAATTTACAACGAGGATTTTGCATTCAAAGAGTTCTAAACGTCATTGGAACTAAGTGGAACGTGCTAGATGCTATTGACTAAAGCTTCAAACGGTTCAGGCTAAACCGGGAAACTGATCCAAAACCAGCTCAAAATTTAGTTCGGTTCGGTTCAGATATTAGAACCGAAAAACCAGCGGTTCGGTTTAGTTTAATCTAATTTTTTATAAAAATGCGAAAAATCAAATAGCCGTCCATCTAGTGATCGTACAAAGTCGAGCCATATATCATTGGATTCGTCTCAATGAGACGCATCGAATGGTGGTAAGATCATATCTCTAGCATTGATAGATCACATGTTAACCCACGCTAAATGATTTATAAATAATTGGAATTAGCAAGCTATCTATCAGTGCTAGAGATATGATATTAGCACCATTTGACGCATCTCAGTGAGACGAATCCAATGAATATAAATTCGTTCGTGTATGACCACTGGATGGCAAATAATATCAAATTTCGCATTTTTTTGAAATTTTCAAGCGTTAAAAATTAGAAATTCTGATACATGAATTTATTCATCGTCCAATAGTCATACAAATATGAAGTAGGACTCATTAGATTCATCTCGATGAAATGAGTCAAATGGTGGTAAGATCATGTCTCTAGCATCGATAGATAGCTTTCTAATGCCATATTTTTATAAATCATTTATCGTGAATTAACTTATGATCTATTGATGCTAGAGATATGATCTCACCACCATTCGACTCATCTCATCGAGACGAATCTAATGAGTCCTAATTCATATTTGTACAACCATTGGATGACGAATAAATTCATGTATCAGAATTTTTAATTTTTAACACTCAAAAATTTTAAAAAAATGCGAAACTTGACATTATTCACCATCCAGTGATCGTACATGGACTAATTAATATTCATTGGATTCATCTCACTGAAACACGTCGAATGGTGCTAAGATCATGTCTTTAGCACCGATAGATGGCTTGCTAATTCCAATTATTGATAAATCATTTAGCAAGATTAACTTGTAATCTATCGATACTAATGACATAATCTTACCACCATTTGACGCGTCTCATTGAGACGAATCTAATGATATACTTTACAGAAACTTTAAGTTTTCAAGTAATATCATTTCGATATCATTTTAATTATTATTTTGATATCATTTCAATATCGATTTAATATCGAAATGATATCGAAGTGATAATACTTTATTTCGATATCATATCGATATTAAATCGATATTTTGAAATGATATTGAAATGATATCGAAATGATATCGTTAAGATAAACTTAACGATATCGATTCTATATTGATTAAAAATGGTAAGTTTCTGTAAAGTATGTTTTTTTAAAAGAAATACAACGTTTGATATCTTAATAATGAAGCTGTGAGGGGGGAATACAGATTTATGAAACAGTTTAATAATCAAAACTAAAATCCATCTCATTTGGCTGTTGAATTTCAACGCCATTGTTCTCACATGCTTATTTGATACTTTGAACCTGATCGTATGCTGAAGACATTTTAAATTGCTTGTATCTGTTGTTCGTCTCATTATATAAGATTATTTCATTACTTACTACAATTTCGAGCCAGATTTTGAAATTTTGACATCCGTTGATAGTACTGGTAAAAAAATAAGATGTAAGGGTATTAATAGTAAAGCTCTAAATGGGTCAGTTTAGTCCGGATTATAGACAGTTCGGATTAGAGCTGAAATCTGTAAGAACTGAACTGAAAAACTGGCAGTTCAATTCAGTTTAATCCAATTTTTATAAAAATGCGAAAAATCAAATAGCCGTCCATCTAGTAAACGTACAAAGTTGAGCCATAGTATTTTTGGTTTATTTTTAATACAGTAAATAGGAAATGTTTTTATATTTTAATGTAAAATTTAATGTAAATAATAATGTAATATATTTTAGAGTAGAATAGTAAAATAATATTTTTATTGCTAATTGCAACATTTTATTGTAAAAATGCAAATCCAATTTTAGTTTTTTTTAAGTATTAATAAATAAATAAAAAATTTTAGTATTACAGAAAAATAAAATAAAAAACAAATGAATCGAATTTCTATTTTAATCAAATTAATTAGTCTTCGGAATCTTTAAGACCTGTCTCTTATACACATCTAGATGTGTATAAGAGACATTCCAAATGCTTTTCAATATAGAACGCTCAATTACAGTATTAGAATCTTATTTATGTAATAAAAATTTTTTATGAAGGGAAATTTATATTTTTTACATATTCTCATAATATTAAAAATAAAAAAAACCCCAAAAGATTCGTACTCATACTTACGAAACTTTATATTTTTCCATTCTTCAGAAGTCTTTCTGAGATACTGAACCTATAGTAAAAAAAGAAAGGAACGGTTAGTAAACCGTTCCATAATAATAAAAAAAAATAAATAAAACCAAAATTCTTATGAATTTTGGTTCTCCATTCGTTAGAAGCCCATAGTTTATTTCTCATTTTAATCAAATTTTTTGTGTGAATAAAATATTTACCCATTGAATAATTTGAATAACTTGACTTTTCAATTTAGGATCATTCTTTGGTAATTTTTCTTCAGAATTATAATTTTCACAAAGATAAATTGCAATTGTGGTCACCACTCTATAAAAAATTTTTAGTGAAAATGATACAATTACAGAAAAAATATGGAAATAAACAAATTCATTCATTACGTACCTTGGAATTTAAAATATAGAATAACAACATTTTTTACAGGATACTTCACACTTTGTGTATCAAAGATCGTTTGTAATAAAGAAAAGTTCATTAATATAAATTTGTAAATTTATTAATAACTTTAATGACTTTTAACTTATTGGTTCAAATCATTAACATCCTTAATAAAGTTTTTATTCCGTTTTTTTGTCCAAGTAATAATATTTTGCCTTCAAGATTAATTATACTGAATTTGCCACAATTTACAAAGTTAAAAAAAAAATATGGAAGCGGTAATTGTTATTGATTTTTTTTAAAAAAAAATCACATAATACCCATACGATAATTATTTTTATAATACTATTCGTAACTGATCTGTGATCTGTGTGATCTTAAGAAAAAATTGGACAGACAAAAAAAAATATTATAAAATAATATTATAAAAATATTGTAAAAAATAGTATATATATATTTTTACAATATTTTATAAATAACGTATTTACAAAAGTATTGTATTAGTATTATATTAGTATTGTATTAGTATTGCAATTCATATAAAATAATAATTTTTTTCATTATTCTTTTTATCATGTTGTTTTTATGTTGTTTAAGCATTTTATTTTGACACCGTTTTTTAAATTATCTTTATTTTTATTGTTTCAATTAAGGTTGCAGACATATCTTAAGGTAGTTACCTTATACGTCAATACGTCAATGTAGTAAGAAGATACTACTTTTCAAATATTTTGCCGTATTGACGTATGGGGTAGTAAGGTAGTAATTTTAATTTTAACTCTGGCCAAATTGTACTTTCAGCCAAAATTAAGTATGGCAATTACTGTAGTAATTGATCATTACAAGTAGGTTTAAGTAGGTTTGATATGAAAAATTTTTTTTTTCTTGTGTTACAGCATATGTTGTATCTTGACGTGACGTATGCCGTAAGGTAACTACCCTTGGCAAAAGAAATGTCTGCAACCCTAGTTTCAATATTGTTATTATATCATACCATTATATAACTATATTGTAAAAATATTTTAAAAAAATTAGAGGTTTCAGCAAAGTACTTTTATTTTTATTCAGTGAATAATTCTACATCTGGATAAAGAATTCTACACACATCATAAAGACCTAACTGTGATAGTTGTATTAGAAATTGAGATCCTGGTTTCCGGTATTGGGCGATCGGTCTATCCTATTATTAATTGTGTCATTAAAATCCCTTAATACAACATGCAGTACTACGGTATTGTGAACTGATCGGTCATGTCCTAGGATCCCGAATAATACTAATATAACTCACAAATGATCGGCATGCATTTACTATTAACTCTACGCAACTTTTTTTTCATAGTAACGCTACGCAAATCCAAATCTTAGTTCAAAAAAATTTTTGTTACTAATATAATTCATTTCACATTTTTTCTATTAAATATTAATAAAATCATGCAAACCTTACCATTTTATATTAAAATAGTGTGTTTCGCACTTTTTTCTATTAAAATATTAATAAAATGGTGCGAAAATCACCATTTATTTGTTAAAATGGTGCGTTTCACACTTTTTCTATTAAAATATTAATAAAATGGTGCGAAACTCTCCATTTATTCTGTCTCTTATACACATCTAGATGTGTATAAGAGACAGACTTTAAACTTATTAATCCCAGATAAACAAATCCGCCGATATGTTTACGTTTTAAGTTAAGATACAAATTTTTAACATATATAGTAAGTGCTAAGAATTATATTAATTTAAAAGAAATATTTACCAAATTATAGTATAATAACATTAAATAAAAATTTTTTAATACTCATTTCCAATTTACTGTATATTATATAGTATTTTGTATAATTAAAATTAATATTTTAATTAAAGGTAAACAAATTAACCTATATGCATATTTATTAATTTCATTTAATTTGTTTCATTATTTCTTTAAGGTTATTAGGTCTATTAGATTATTAAGAGCATTAGGAATTAGAGTTATTGGTTGTTAGAATCATACTATTATTAGGAGTTTTTGTTTATAGAATCATTAGTTGTCAAATTATTAGGTATTTCAATCATGTTATTAGGATCAAGCAGTAAGTCATTAGATTTAGGATCATTGGATTATTAGAAGCATTAGATTTGTTGGTTATAAAAAAAACCAAATTAGCTTCAATAAATATTAAAGTTATAAATGATATAGAATATTGTATGGTACATGTTGAGTACAACTGCTTAAACTAAATAAATTCAACTATAAGAATATTTGATAGCTTTATTTGGTTATATTTCATTAAAATTCAATGGAGTTCATAAATACTTATTAAAATTTATTAAAAAATAATATAAGAAATTCATTAGTTTAAATTAAAACTTTTATTTTTATTTTTTTTTTAACCAAGGTAGTGCAATTTGTGAGTTTATTAATTATATATAAGAATATAAAAACATCTGTTATATAACTAATTTATTAAAACTCCAAACCAGTTCTCTATCTATAAGATTGCTCCTGTGCCCTACCATTACCTTATGAAATTCACCTATATCCTTCAATAGTAGCTATTGAATTATATAGGATCACTATTTCATAAGGCTTATTAAGTAAATGCTTTTACTACCCTCTAGATAATAAAAAAAAAAAAAA